AAATACCATTTTGCCCCTGCATTTAACAGAAAAAGTTAACAAAATTGATTGAAGGAACATTTGTCCTAAAGAAAATGCAGTTAAAGAACCACAAGAACGATTTTGGAAATTGAGGGACTCAAATGCAAATCGGGCCTAAGTTCAGGGACTAATAAAATGATTAACTCGTTCAAAATATTATGCCTTTACTTGCAACACATTCAACATATTATGAAAGGACACTTAAAATTAACTATCATTTCCTTAAAATAAAAAAGATTATAAATAACGAAGAAGTTAACAATTACAAGCTTTTTCTAGGCCATCACAGGAGGAAAGTAGCACCTTCTCTTACCGGTGCTTCAATCGAAGGGGACACAATGCACACCAGTTTCAAGGCCCAGTAATGTTTTTTTTTTTAAATTTAAATTTTAGGTAAAATTGTAGCAATGGTCCCTAGACTAAGACCAAACTTTACTTTTCGTTCATCATATTGTTAAATTGTTACGTTAATACTTTAATTATGTCTCCACTTTCAGAAATTGTCCTCTTCGTCATCTCAGTCAACTTTTCCGTTAAAAATGATGACATGGTAATGACAAGTCCTACTTGGCATAGGTAAAAATGTCTTTTTACACAAAAAATTTAAAAAATAAATCAAATATATATATATCTCTCTCTAGCCCCAATTTCTTCCCCCCTTCTGGCGATTTCTCACCCATATTTCTTCTGCCCCCACCAATTTCTTCACCCACCCATATTTCTACTAATGAGGATGGGCCAATGGGCAAGTCAACTTGAAAAGCATAAGCTTTTGACCAGGGAAGCAAAAACCAGTTCAAGAAACTGCGATATGGGTTTTGTTCTTCATTTCATTTCATTCTTGTTAGGTAAAGTCACAGTCAAAGCAAAATACAATTATGCAAAAATGCAGTTGCACCAATTGCTCAGCTACCCAAAAAAGCACTTTTCACACTAACTAAGTCTCTTTAAAGTTTGAAGTTTGAAGTGGTTTTTTTTTTGTTCCTCAAGTCCTAGTTGGGATGCCAAGTCACAGTCGGCAATAATGTCCAATAATGTATAGCCCTACCTTTTAGTGGGGTTGTGAGCTACGGTAGAGGGTGCCTGTGGGATATGTTTGACGGTTGGAGCTTGCATGTGGTAGTTATGGGGGAATAGGGGAAGAAGAAATCGTCGAGGGAAGAGGAAAAGCGCATAGGAGGGGAGGGGAGGAGAGAGAGAGAGAGAGAGAGAGAGAGAGATGGAGAGAGAAGAATTATGAATTTCTCAATTTGCCATTAATTTTGACATAAAATTTAACTAAGTTGACAGAAAGACCAATGAAGCAATATGAGATCTAATTGAAACACTACTGTAACAATTTAACAATATGAGAGACGAAAAGTAAAGTTTAGTCTTACTCCAAGGACCATTGCTACAATTTTGCCTAAATTTTAGTTTTTATTTTTTAAATTGTTTTTAAAAAAAATATTTCTTATTGAAATGAGTGAACTCACGCACACTACATAATGCTAAGACTCGAACTCATGACCTTTTAAAGGGGAACAATTGCTCCAAACTACTACACTAGAGGATCATTTGGTTAAATTTTATTTTAGAGAAGAGTGAAATCATCATTTTAGTGAATTTTTTTTTTAAGGGAGTTTGGTTTCAATGGTAGCCGTGTCAATAAAAATTGTTGTTATAAGAGCATCTCAAAGGGAGATGTCAAATGCAAAATTTGAATTTGATAGCTTATATGTCAATTTGACACTTTGAAAAAAATTTAACCCCACATGAAATGCCAAATATCATATTATTGTATTATATTTTTAAAAGCAAATGGGGCACATATGATGCATCAAGTTTTAAAAAAGAGTAAATGATAGTAGGGTCTATGACTGAAAAAATATTAAAATAACATTTGACATCAAGCTTTTATATGTTATTTTTGACATATCTCTTCCAGCCTTCAAATCCATGTAGGATTTGACTACTCAGTTTGAGCAACTTTAACATCCAAATTTTGTCATTTCATGTTAATGTGACAGTTTGACATATTGGAGATGCTCAAAAGTGTCATTTTTCATTTAAAATAAGGGCAGATTTGGCATTAAAATTGGGTGTGAAGATCAATTTATGAATATAACAATACAAAGACGTGCTTGGGTTGGGCTAAAATTTGGGTTGGGTTTGGAATTGCTATGGAGCCTATAAAATTAGAGGGCACACACGCGTGCCTACATTCGATACATACGCTTGTTTTATCGTCAGCACAGAGTAGCAGCAACAGCATTACTCCTTTCTTTCTCTAAGTCTGAAGGTGAGTTGGTATATCAACACACAAACGCACCCGCATCTCTTGTTCACATTTGAATCATGTGATACTGGAATGCACTTATGTGGGTTTTGATGTTGCTTTTTCCCTTTCAGTTTCCGTTTATTTATTTTTATTTCTACTATTTCAACTACATTGGCTTTGTAATGTAAAAAGGATAATTGATTTGGTTACACAGTCATGAAACCCAAGTGGGATTCCTTTAGACTTTGAAAACTCTCAATGGTGATAACAATCCGAAGCATTCTTGAAAACTTTCTCCGAGTGTGCATTCAAAAGGTCTCTCCCTTTAGAATTTTGGATATGCAAATGGATGAGAGTCGACTGTAATATTTGTTAGTATTATTTCAGGTTGAAACAGTGGTAGATAGTGTAAAATTGGATGACAGAGGTTTGGCACATGAGCCATCTTGATGCAAGGCTTTTTTGAACAGGGAAGCAGTGGCTACAACAGTTTCCTCACGGAAAGAAACATTCTACAGCCGATCACATTCAATGTTGTGGACAAAGGGGAGAGACCTCCAATAATTTCATTAATGTCCATGACATCTTCCTTGATTGTGATCGAGACTCTGCATGTCGCTTGCTAGTTTAATTAGAATATATTTTTTAATCTATGTTTATGTGCTTGATTTAATTACTTCAACTCAGACTTATTTCTCAGATAATTTACCTTGGGAAGCCTGATGGACCTACTTGCCACACGAGATCAGAGACTTGCTATTACACCCCAGTGTTTGATTTGTTAGCAAATCAACAGGTTTTAAGCATTTAATGAATTAAAAGAGCTTACATATTTTTATCATTCATTCATGAGTCAAATTACAGTGTTTTGAAAGTGTTTCGGTTGTAATTGGGCTAATAATGTTTAAAAAAATGCAAATTGAAACAGAATTGGGCTTAGGCCCAAATTAGCTGAACCAACCCATCTCAAATTGGTTTGGTTTCTTTCTTGATTTTTGTCAAAATTAAACCAAACCAAAATGTTATATTGTAATTGGTTTGGCTGCGGTTGTGAGGTAAAATCCAGACCTTACCCACCTTTACTGACTTATGTAACACCAAAAATTTATAATTGATGTCTAGACAAACAATTATTTAGAAGCCAAAGTTATAAGAAAGTTCATGAAATATCGAGAAATAAACCTTAATCATAACAATAAAACAACAAATTCTAATAAATAAATAAAAACAACGCATTCCATAGTGCAACAATCCGTTACTCATGACTTAAATTAGATATGTAGTCAATGAGGTATAGTTCAGAGGTTTAGAGATATTGTCCTCCTATCTTTTACTCAATATTTTTGGTTCGAATTAGACTGGAAAAGTTTACAATAAAATAAAGAATAAATTAGCCAAGTCAAATCAAATTGTCGGTGCAGGAATTTTTCAAATAACATACTTGACTAAAATTATGTCATACCATGTCATGCATTATGCATTATGTGAATGGATTCATACAACTAGTCATACATACAACAACCTCAAATAGTTTTTTTCACCCAACCCCATAATCAAAATTTAAGTCAATAACTTTATTAACATCATTAATTAACTTTTATTTATTACACTCATATTTTTTTCATAGAGTTAAATTAAGAAAACATTATTTTATTTTATTTTTTTCTATATATATAAAGCAAAAGGTGAGAATGGTAAAACATTCAAAATACCAAAAAATGCCATTAAATAAAAATAATGTGATAAATTTACACTTTTTCATATTAAAATAAAGATAAGATTATGGATCCTATTTTTATGGAACACAATTACTCATTTTCTTTTTTAATTCTAAAATAATTTTTTTTAATTTTAAAAAACTTCTCTTAGGAGCGGAAGTACGTATGAAGATGCTAATTTTAAATGAAAATAAGTACAACTGTAAGATCGAAAATAAAATAAAATTACAACATGACCTAAATTAAAATCAACATTAACTAAACACCAAAACACGAGAGACCGACGGGAGCTAATGGTCTTATTAGACATTCCAAGCATAGTTGAATGATGATTGAGGGGAAGAGACCAATTGGAAACTTTCATGCTTCGCAAGGACACTTGCCAACCTCCCAATAGCACTTAAGATATTACAATCCGATAGAAATCGTTACAAAATCTCATTTGAACTAATGCAATCAGAAGTGCGATTAAAACCAAATCCAATTTTTAACCAAGCAATTTGTAGAGAATCTCAAATTCAAGTCGTTCAATTTGTTGGAATGACTTTTTCTACTTTTTCGTTCTGTGGGCCCCCCTCTCGCTTTGTCCATCTTTTTAACGCGGCGCTCTGAGTTTCCCACCTGCCTTTTGATAATTTCTCCACCAAAAAAAATAAAATAAAAATAAAACCACATAAGAAAAAAGAAATTTAGTAATTTTTTCTATATAAATAATTCATACATGTGCCAAAAAAAAAAAGAAGAAAATTTGGTACTCCTGCGGGACCCACAAGCGATCGTTCCGTGCTCCTTCCTCCATCTTTCCTGATTCTCTCGTGCATGTTTTTTTTCAGTCCACTATGATCGAACACCTAATTGTACGGTTATTAATAAATAAATAAAAGCGATTATTTTAATTTATTTAGTGATTGTTGACGTGGCGAGATCTTAGCGGGGTACAGGACTATTCTATCAGACCGAAGAGCCGCACCGTAGCCGTACCTAAGGCTAAAAAGAAGCCAGAGCTGGGAGGGCGTGGCATACAACATACACGTGAGCGCACCGAAACCGAACCCGGACCTGTCCCCGTGAAAAATCCGGATTGGATAATCGGCGATACGTCCGAACTTTGTAATTGGGGGATTGGTTCTGGTTGGGTCTCGGTCAAAAAGAAACGCAAAACGCGAAACAATAACAACAGGGACGAAGAGGAGTAGAGTCGGCGTTAGCAAAAACCCTCAACTTCGTCCCCCAATTCGTTCACCCAAGTAAGATTTCAATCGGTTTCTAGGTTTTTTTTGTGTGTGTGCATGCTGTTGTTGCTATTCAATCCAGGACTTTCAGTTGAAATGTTTTTGTTTTTGTTTTTCTGGTTCTGATTAATCTGTTTTTGGATTTTTTTTTTTTTGGTTAGATCGATCCCCGTGGAGGCTATGTGCTGGTATGTTTGGTTTGGTGGTTGATTAAATAATTGGTCCGGTGAAGATTTTGTACTTCTTGGGCATTAATTTTTGGTGGTGAAAATGGATTTGGTATCTAGTTGCAAGGTATTTAGTTGATTTGTTGCAATTTGATTACATTTTTTTTCTTGATGATTATTGTTCTGAAATTTGCAGGGATATTAAGTTTGTGTTGATTCTTGTGCAATTTGATGGATGCAATTTTGTAGTTGTATTGTAGTGGATGTAGTTTTGACATTTGGTAGAACATTTGCTTCAGAAATTTTACTTTGCTATTGTGAATTTAGTCAATTGTGGTCTTGTTTTACTTTAGTGAATTTAGTCAACCAGTATGCAACTGGCAGGATTGTAAGCATTAGTCGAAATAAACTTAATTAGCAGCTTTATGTGTGTCAATTGGTTTGTCTTTTATCCAATTAGTATATGACATAATGTAGTTGGGTCTGATATCTTTTTGCTTATTGTTAATTTTCCCCTTATTGTTGCTTGTGTGACTTGCATAAGGTGTGAATGGATGACACAAGAAGAAAGATTTAACTATAGAGAAATGTGAAGAAGCAAGCAAAGACATTTTACTCGAATACAGTTTGATCACGAATAGTCGGGCAAGTAGTGTTGATGGGGAATTAGCTTTTAAGAAAGTGTAGTAAATCTAGTTACATACTTGGCTGCAAGTTTTATTTTTTTCCGTGTCCCATATATATATTTTTTTAATGTTAAAGTATCTCATGCAACTTTTAATTTCATTGAAGCAGACAGTTTTCATGTTAAATTGAGCTTCTGAAATTCATAATATCTATCTACATTTTTTCTTGGATGAGTGTGTTTGGGTTTACTGGCTCTATCATTTGAAGGAAAAAGAGAGAGATTGTGTTGTATATGGTCACTTGTACAGTCTGTCTAATTTTGTTTGTTTAAAGCATCATCTATCTGTTAGCATGGTTTGGTTTGTCAAGGGAGTTAGTGACTTATTTCTTTCAGAATCACAACAGTAGGTAGTAGTGCAGAAACGATGAATTTTTTGAGAAAAGAGTGATTTAGCTATTTATTTTCACAGTAGGAAGTCAAAATTAGGTAGAGAGGGTATGATGTTGCGGTTGTTAATTATATCGGTGTTTGTTCGTACTTTTGCAGTTAGTTATCGGAGTTGTTATTCATACCTCCATATTTGCTTACTATTGCAGTGAATTGTTTTGGTGTCCCCACTGGTTGAATGTTACTTGTTGCTGCGGTGAACTTATTAGAATTTTTGTTTACTAATGCAGGAAAAATTGGCGTATTTTCGAATAAAAGAGCTCAAGGATGTTCTCACCCAATTAAGCCTTTCAAAGCAGGGGAAGAAGCAGGTGAGATGCCAGAAAGACCGCTTTTGTGTTGCGATGTTGGTTTCCCACAGATTGTGGATATTATCCATGTGCTCACCTTGCCACTGCATTTTGTGCCACAGTGGCATAAATTTTTGGAGTTCACAGGAAGTCACGTTTTTGTGGCTCTTATGGTTCTTGTTGATACTCCTATGAAAGAAGTTAGACCTTGTTAATATGTTATATATTTTACTTTAGGTGCAATTTGTTATGGTTGGATTGAATTTTTCCTTGATATGTAATTATTGTTGTGTTTTAGAAAGAAATGATTGCATATTGTGTTTTGTGCTATTATTCTTGATGACTATCTGAGTTGCCTGGTTAATTCTAGTCTCTCTGTTTCTTTCCCTGACACCAAAAAATAAATAAATAAATAAATAAAATCCTCCGATCACTTAAGTTTGCCACTGTCAATCCTATGAAAATATTGCAACAGTCAAGATGGATTTATTATTGTTAGTCCTTTCCATGATGACATTTGAGTGCATGGATCTGTCAAATTATTTGGATATATTTTTTGCTGGAATTTTCTGTTCTTGTATAAAATAAGTGAACTTAGGCCAAATGTGGCCTGTTCATTGCCATAAAAAATAGCCTACTTTTTACCATGGTATCTTCTGAAGCCATTTTACCTGGTTTTTAAGTTGAATGTTGTAAGGGAAGACCATTGACTGATTCACCAATGTCTATTATGCAGGATCTTGTTGACCGGATATTAGCACTTCTTTCTGAAGATCAAGGTAAATGGTTCTGGTTCAGATGCTTTAATTGTGCCAATAACAGTCCTGATTGGGTATACTGTTTGTTTTTATAAATGTAGCTAATCTGTTGGGGTAAACATGGATAATTCCTTTTCATCATCCATCATGTAGTACATTGAAGAAATTATGACTATTTTGTTCTCAATTATTCTCTATAATAAATTATTCGGTGCTGTGAATCCTCAGCGTGCTACATATGTATAACACTAATGGTACTTTGTATGAAGTGGCTTTAATTTGCTATTTGTCTTGTATTGTACTGACCTAGAAACGAGTGGGACTCTTGTATCCGATCTTTGAGAATCTTAGAATTATGACTCTTTTTTCCGGAAGAACATTTTCTAGTTCAGGAAACCGGTGAGTACATTTTAGTTGTAAATCCAGTGGAAGTAAATTGGTGCTATCTACACTTCTGTTAAATCTTTTTGCATAGAATAAAGGGTTGTCATCCAATCATTCAATTTTTGAGACACAAATAACAATATAGAATCAAGTGATTCTACAGCTTGATAGTTTGTTGATTTTTAAAATCTTCGATCCTAATGATCGTTTCCTTTTTATTCTCTACCCAAATATGTTTCTTGAACTGTCCTGGGCTTTAACTTCTATGACCTGAACCGTATTAATTTTAATTTTTTATGATTGGGTTGTGTTATTTAATCTTTTTTTCTTTTTTGGTTTGGTTTTGGGGTATGGGGTGGGTTGAATAATTGTTTGTGTGAGTTTGTAACGTCATATGTTCAAATGATTTTAATTATTTGTATATGTTCCATGTCTGATTCTTTTAAAAGATAGTACTGTATTTATTTCTATTTATGTACAGTTTCTAAAATGTGGCCAAAGAAGAATACAGTTAGAAAGGAACAGGTGGCGGAACTTGTAGATGACACCTATAGGTATGTTCTCATATTTTTCATATATTTGTTGCATGATTTTATAAAGGGGCTGGGATATTTGCTTGCTTTGCCTTTTGTTTTAGTTAACTCCTTAGTTACTGACCTATCCCTTGTAATGATATCATGTAGAGCTGCAGTTCTCCTATATGTTTCATAAGCTATGTAAGCAGATGTGTGTGTGTTTACTTCTCTTTCCTCTGACTTTCTCGTGTTTTCTTTTCTCCAGAAAAATGCAGATTTCTGGGGCCCCTGATTTAGCATCAAAGGGACAATGCATCTCGGACAGCAGTAATGTGAAAATAAAAGGCGAAATTGAGGATCCCTTTCAGTCAGATATAAAGGTTCGCTGTCTCTGTGGGCGTTTATTAGAAACAGAGTCAATGATCAAGGTATGCTTCAAATTTTCATATTTTCTTGAGTCTCCTTAGATGTAGCATGGTTCTTTGTAGTATTAAACACACAAACAAGTGTTTGATTAACAAACACAAGCCTTCTATATGTCCAGTCCTTTTGTCATTTGACCTACTTTTTCTACATGAAACTTTTTCTCATTTGAACACCTTCACTGTACCTTTCTTATGGTTTTCCCTTTTCTGGTTGCTTTAATGGCAGTGTGAAGATCCAAGATGCCAAGTGTGGCAACACATGAGTTGTGTTATTATTCCAGAGAAACCTGTGGAAGGCAATCTACCAGTTCCCGAATTATTTTATTGTGAAATGTGTCGACTAAGTCGGGCTGATCCGTATGTGGCACCAGTATTCTCTTGTTATAAAAACTCTTTATAATTAATTTTTCCACGAAGCCAATTTTTTTCTCTTTATTTTTTTTTATTTTTATTTTTTGGGTTTTTGGGGTTTGTTTAACTCATACGTGCTGAGCCTCTCTCCCAACTTCTTCTCATTTCTAAGTTGGGCTAACTCTTCCATATTATGATGTTAGCATATTTCATATCACTGCATCTGTGCATCAATGCGATATGTCATTTTGGTGTTATGACCTCTATAACCTCCTATACTCAGTTTATGTACCATTGGAACATTTGAACATTTTTCCCTTTGGGTTGCTAATCTCTCCTAGTTGTGAGCTTACAATACCATGGTTAGCTTCTCTTAAATGTCATAATATTTGAGAAAATTGTATGTCATGAAGATGATAACTTTAGATTCTGAGTTACTCAGCGTACAGGCTATTCTTATTTCATATGACATTTATTTTCTGGTATAATCGTTGGATAGTATGTCATTTTTGAATAATCTGAAATTGACCATTCAAATCATTTTAAAAGAAGCTAAATTTGAATAAAGCTATTGTACTAGTCAGAAGAAACCAAAATTAGAGAATCGACATTGAGCAGACATGTCTTTCAGGTGTCAACTAGGTCTCACTTTGGGCTTAGAGTGTCTTTCTTCTTGTTTGTTTGCTTGCTTTTTTGAGCATCACTGGCAATGATTAATGAGTGTAGTTGAAGGTGCCATTTTGGCAAGGAGGAGAGGATGTGTTTAGATCATTATGGGGTATAATTTAGTGGTTGGTATGACATTAGCTGGATCTAAGTGGCAAAAATCCGTCCCAACATAATGATTATGCCTGATTTGACCATGTGGCTTTCGGCATTTTACCTTGACCTTATTGTTGTAATGGCTATTGCCTCACTTTGCTTATGGTTAACAGTGCAGATTCTTTGTCATCTTTTAAACTATGGCTTTTCTTTGGCTTAACCATTTGATTCTTCTTATTCAGGTTTTGGGTAACTATTCAACATCCTTTACATCCTGTTAAGTTGAATGTTACAAATAGTCCAACTGATGGGTGAGTGGATCTGTCTTTGCATTGACTTCAAGCTTAGGATATGTGAAGTTCATAGTAGTTTGTTTTCCCTGTTTGTCTTGAAGCTATTTAGTTATTGATGACAAGAAGAGGAAAGTTGAGCTAAATTTTTGTGTTTGGTAGACAGGAATTTTGGAAAATCATGCTTACAAAAAGAGAAAAAAAGATTTTCTAGGAGCTAGTTACTTTTGTATCCAGAGTTCATTTTTTATAGTAATTTCTTATATGTGTTTTATGTGTATTTAGTGTGCACGTGCCCTGTAATAATTTTCTAATTCCAAGCAACAATTAGTTTTGTCCAGAAGATGCCATTACTTTGCGTATGAGACTTAGCCCAAAATATGATACATAGGATATAATTTTGGGAGTAGCTTGTATTTACTTCACAATTCATAATACTGTTTATGGGCCAGTATATTTTTGAATGACTAAATGTCTTGTTGCCAAAAACTCCATGTTATCCTCTTTTGATTTACTCTACAAGAAGTAGAATTATTCTTATGAACTACTTGACAAAGATCTATGTACACTCGCATGCGGAGAAGAAAAATCCCCTTTTTGATAATCTGTGCGCATTTTCTTAATAGCATTTATTTCACAATCCATGTTTTGAATGCTGTACTTTACATCTGATATTGTTCCTCATTGACCTTGCAAATTGTCCAGTTCAAACCCAGTCCAAACTGTGGAGAAAACATTTCACCTCACCAGGGCAGATAAAGACTTATTGTCTAAACAAGAATATGATGTCCAGGTTGGTTAATGTATTGAATGATGATTGGGGAATCATTAGCCTTGTACATGGCACTAAATACGTTGATTTGTCATTCTGACATTATTTTGCAGGCTTGGTGTATGCTTCTAAATGACAAAGTTGCATTCAGGATGCAATGGCCGCAATATGCAGATCTACAGGTCAATGGTATGGTAATTCTGATTGTTTGACATTTATTGATGAATTTTGAGCTTAAATCTAAAATGTGGTCTTAGAGAGGTCACGTTGGTTATGTATTTGGAATATGTAAATGCATTTACTTGAATGTACTCTGTGTTTCATTGGAGATTTCTCTGGATTATACGCAGGTATGCCTGTTCGTGCAATTAATAGACCTGGCTCGCAACTTCTTGGAGCTAATGGTCGTGATGATGGTCCAATTGTGAGTTCCACCTGTACATTTATTTGCTTTTAGTTGTCAGTATTCTTTCCATGCTTTTAACCCATATCACCTTGCTATTTTCGATGAGATTACTTTCTTTGTGACTGCAGGGCATTTTCTGATTGCTCTGTGAATCAAAACACTTAACAAGTTGTTTCTGTGTTTAGTATCTTAGTGTACTTCATGTTGTTTTGTCAGATCACACCATACACGAAAGACGGAATTAATAAGATTTCCTTAACAGGATGTGATGCCCGTATATTCTGCTTAGGGGTTCGTATTGTGAAGAGACGCACTTTGCAACAGGTACTGCTGATTTTTTTAATATGATTTTTTTTTGGATAGTTGAGCTTGTATTTACGCATCTTGAAGTTTCTTTAGTATATGCTTGTAAAAGTTGCAACCTGAAAGAGAGACGTTTGTTAAGTCCCGCAAACTACTAGAAGGATGAAAAAAGCGACATCAGGCAGAAATTTTGCAAATATGTCAATGTTTTGGTGATTCCAGTATGAGTATGGAGAAAGAAAAAGGGTGTGTGTGTGTGTGTTGTAAGTCAATTTCTTTTAGAGATGTACCCCATATAACGTTTCCAGGGATCTTTGGAAATGTTGGGAATGTGTTTTAGTGCAGCAAAGAATGAGCTTTAAATGGGAGTGATGGGCAGAAAAGTTAAATTTTGCAATGTGTATGGATTACATTGTTTTGGCTCTTTCTCACCCAATACAAAACATGTTCTTTTGAGTATGGAGGGTTTGAAATTGGTGTGTCGATCCAGGGGGACATTTTAGGACTAATTTTAAACCAACAAGTGGGAAGAGAGGTAGCTGGAAATTGTGGCTGATGGGAGGAGAGACAGTGGAAACATAAAGATGCATATTTCTGGCATGCTAAGCGCTGGCAAAGATGTTTGAATCAACATGGGATCTAGCTGGTGTTGTTGAATCCCTAGGAACTCTTTTATTGATGTAAAGTGTTTCAGGCTTGTATGCCTGTTTTGGACTTTTCAGTATGTAAAATGTTGTTGAAGATGGGAGAATTCAATGGAATGAAGATGTTTTGTCACCTTAGCATCGAAGCTTTAAGATCATACTTATCAATGGAATAAAGATGTATTTCAAGATTATACATGGCTTGCAAATATACAGGACTAGTGTATTTGTTTTATATTGGTGCCAGTACTTGTGCATGTTCAAGTTTGTCCACGCCAACAGATAATAGTTATTTGTTAGTGTATTTCCTTGGTATTTATTATATTAGTAAAATATTTTGAATTTTATTTTTCTAGGTTCTCAATGTGATTCCCAAAGAGTCTGATGGTGAGCGTTTTGAAGATGCTCTTGCTCGTGTGTGTCGTTGCGTTGGTGGCGGGACTACAATGGATAACGATGATAGTGACAGTGATTTGGAAGTTGTTGCAGATTCTTTTACTGTCAATCTGCGTTGTCCGGTAAATCGTTTTTTTTTTCTGATCGACTTTTGTGAGAAGAAAATTGTGCACTTCGTTATAGGAGTTTATGAAGCCAGTAAATTTAACACAATTATATAATGCATTGTGGAATGTTATATTTTGTATGGATTTTACTTTTGTGTATGAGCTCAATTATATGCATTGCAATTAATCTCAACTCTTGGATTCAAGAATGTTTGAATTGCCAACCATACGAATAACCAAGGGGTTCTCTTCTAACTTATTTTTCAAATTCTTATATTGATTATCCGGAGTCTGTCTCGATAGTGCTTGTTAGGCTAATTGTTTAGAGTGTTTCATCAAGTTCCAATGTTGTGAGTGCCTCTCCCTAGGGTTGTACCAAGGATAAACATCCCTCTACTGATGGGACAGTCCAATATTAGCTGATGCTGACCCTAATTGTTCTAACACAAACAATACTATCAATGTGGTTTATATTTTACTTTCAATGTAGTAATTATGTAGTACAGGATATCAATTGTCTAGAGAGGTTTTCTTATGTCGAGGAACACCTTTCATGCTTTTGTTCGTATGTGCTAGTTGTTTCTGGGACTGAATTGGGTATGTTTATGCATGTATTTGATAGATGAGTGGTTCAAGAATGAAGGTTGCTGGGAGATTCAAGCCCTGCCTTCACATGGGCTGTTTTGATCTTGAAGTGTTTGTGGAAATGAATCAACGGTCAAGGAAGGCAAGCTTCTACACAAAATGAAAGATGTGGTTGTTTTGTCCTTATTTATTTATTTATTAGTTTTAAAGCATGCTTTGCTTTATGATTGCAGTGGCAGTGCCCCATTTGTCTTAAGAACTATGCACTGGAGAATGTCATTATTGATCCATATTTTAATCGTATCACGTCAAAGGTAATGCCTTCTTATGCACTACAGAAAATTGTGTTTCTAAAGTATTGTTTTATTGATCCTTTTTTTTCTTGTTCTTTTCTGTTTTTTTTTTTCTCCCTGGTTGTTACAGATGAGGTATTGTGGAGAAGATGTAGCAGAGATTGAGGTGAAGCCTGATGGTTCTTGGCGAGTGAAGACTAAGAGTGAAAGTGATCGTAGGGATCTTGGGGAACTTGGGCGGTGGTACCTTCCTGATAGTACACTTGCCCCAACAGATGAAGAAATTATCCCAAAAACTGAAGTTTTGAAGCAGGTCAAACAGGAAGGTGTTTCAGAAGGTCATACTGGTTTGAAACTAGGAATGAGGAAGAATCGCAATGGTGTTTGGGAATTCAGCAAACCTGAAGATATGAACACCTCTTCGGATAATAGATTACAAGTGCCATTTGGAGACCACGAGGTAAAAGTTATCCCAATGAGTAGCAGTGCCACTGGAAGTGGTAGGGATGGTGAAGATGCAAGTGTAAATCAGGATGCTGGTGGGAACTTTGATTTCTCTACTAACAATGGAATTGAGATGGATTCCTTTTCTCTAAATGTTGATTCTGTGTATGGATTTTCTGGACAAAATCCTTCTGCAACTGTAGGAGATGCAGAAGTTATTGTCCTAAGTGATTCCGATGACGACATAATGCCCGCTGGAACCATCTACAGGAGTGAGAGAAATGATACTGGCGGGATTAATTTTCCTGTGGCCCCTTCTGGAATTGCTGATTCATATGGTGAAGATCCCACGCTTGGGACTGGTGGGAATCCATGCTTGGGTCTTTTTAATGGCAACGATGATGATTTTATTCCGCTCTGGCCACCATTAGCTCCCGGAACTCAATCAGGCCCTGGGTTTCAATTATTTAGTTCTGAGGCAGATGTGCCAGATACCCTAGTTGGTCTGCCACATGGTTCCATCAATTGTTCCACTTCTATGAATGGATACACCTTGGCTTCAGAAACTGCCATGGGATCTGCTAGCCTAGTACCTGATTCTTCTGTTGGTCGTTCAGATGCTGACATGAATGATGGCTTAGTTGATAATCCATTGGCTTTTGCTGGTGATGATCCCTCTCTTCAAATATTTCTTCCCACAAGACCATCAGATGCATCAGTGCATTCTGATTTGAGAGATCAGGCTGATATGTCAAATGGTGTCCCTACTGATGATTGGATTTCTCTGAGGCTTGGGGGTGATGCCAGTGGCATTAATGGTGCGCCTGCAACTCCAAATGGATTAAATTCGAGAATGCAAATGCCATCCAGGGATGGTGCCATGGATTCTTTGGCTGACACAGGTTCGTTCTCTTTCGACAGAATTGCTACAATGAGTTTTAGGTCGGTTCATGATTGGCATTAAAGGTAGCTTGATGGTTATTTATGCTAATGGTTTAATATACATCTCCTCTGATTTCATTGTGAAGGTTTTGTTTGAGAACTGGTTTTACTCTATTGGTGATCAAAATTTTTACCTTTTAACTTGTACTGGATATGAAAAAAGGTTTGAGGGTGGGAGGAAATGGGTTGTGTTTATTTTTCCTTTTCTCCCAGTTGCAACACCTTCAATATACATAGTTCAGGCAGGTGCTATTTCCACATCCTTATATTGCTATAGCCATAACATCTTTAATCAGGTTATTGACTTTTCAACTATTTTGCAAGTTTCTTATAAGAAAGATAGTAATATTTATAACTTTAATTCTACTATTGAGAAACAAAAGTTGATAGCATATGACATTTGCTCCCAATTATCTCTTAACCCTTATATGGCTAAGCTTCTGCCTGTCTAATTAGTATCATTAGTTTTTCTCAAATATTGTTGAATTCCGTGGCCGAGCCTCTATTAAAAAAAAGAAAAAGAAAGAAAGAAATTTTCTTATTTAAAGCTTTTGAAGCTTAAAGTCTTTAAACCAAAGAAATAGATTAGAAAGGAAAAAAAACCAATTTGGTTATTTTTAATATTAAACGAACAATAAAACACATCAAGTTCCAGAATATTTGCAAGCTAGTGATGATAGTTTTGTGTATATTTTGATTTATTTCAATTAGGTGGCCAAGCTTAAATTGTTTAATCTAGTTTAAGTCTCTCTATAAAGTTTAATGCTTCTAGAGTGCCATGCTAATAGTTGAAGGTTTTAAGTAAAACTGAGTTCTAGAGTTCTGACCATATTCTAGTGGTTAGAACTCTGGTTGACATCTTCCTTTTCATAATTCAGTCATGTAATTGAATCGGGTAACCAGTTGAGTTCAACCCAGCAAAACTGTGTTGCACACCTTAGCTCTGTCGTTGAGCACAATTAGAAATTGTTTTTTGTTTTTACTCAATTATTAGATTGGTGTGATGATGTCACAAATTTTTGATTCATGACCATGGAAAAAGGTAGAAGGAACTAAAAGAGAATAGATTATAAACATGCTTAAAATGTGAGACACAGTCAAATTTGTTTTTCTTCTTTGAACAACTTATGGGTTGTATGAGCGAGCGATATCTCCTTTTTGGCAGTAAGTTTTACTTGTACAAGTGAGTGCTATCTCGTGAGATTGAGTAATGAAGTGAGCGTTACTGAGCTTCTTCAAGCTCAAACTCATGTGGAATCACATATTCAAGTTAATGAACTCCATGGGACTAAAATATGCAATTCAAGTAGGACACTCTGCCCAACCTGTAACTCTTCCAAGCTTGTTGCTGTACTCCGAGTGCAACCTTTTAAAGCTCTTCTCATTTCTGCCTCATGTACATCCTAGTTTACTCTAGTTTCTTTGCAAAACAGGAATTGAACCATGTTCACCAAGGCACGATGAAGAGAGGCAGATTCTTTGTGAGCCTCTTCAGAGACCAGAATATAGAGGTTAACAGAGAACTGAAGGAATGCTTCTGTGCCTTCATCTATAAAATATCTCTCTTTTAGGAAATCTGCATAGAAAGAGTTGAAAAGACAATAACCTTATCAAAGAGACTGGCTATAGCAATATAAGGGTGTGGAAATTGTCCCAGCCATTGTATTGTTGTCATTCCCTTTTTGGAAATCTTTGCAGTTTAATGATCATTAGGCTCATCACTGTTGTACCTTCTGCAGCTTCTTTGCTTCTCGGTATGAATGACGGTAGCAGATCTGACAAGACAAGTAGGCAGAGATCAAATAGTCCTTTCTCATTTCCTCGCCAAAAACGTTCTGTCAGGCCGCGGTTGTATCTTTCTATTGACTCGGACTCTGAATAGAGGAACTGGAACTTTTTCTTTATGAGAACTATCTTTTGGGCTTTTTTTAATTTTATTTCCCTGGGATGGAAAGCATATCCTGGAGTAATCTTATGATTGACTCAGAGAATCCAGTTTTGGGTTTATAATTTGAAGAATGCTGACAGACATTTGGTCCCTGACAAGAGATGAAGTGTTAGATGCGGCACAAGGCACCCGGGGTAGAACAAAGTGATTTAATACACAAGGCATCCAAATAGACTGCATGATTGCAAAACTTTTGCTGGCGCCTGCAAAATTTTTCCCTTGGTTTGTAAGCTTGAGGCCTTTTATCGTTTTCCAGTATCCTGTTCACGTTTCAGCTATGTTCGTGATGCCTGTTTGACTTAACAGAAACAGGCTTGTTCAAGTCCTCTTTAATGATCTGCAGGTCCAGTGCTGGTATTGTACAGGAGATGTGATTTGAATCCATCAATTCAAATATTTGGATGTAGTTGGGGGAACCCCATCACAGAAATACAAGATAGCTGCCTTGTCTCGGTTTTATAGTGAGAAGCAATAGCCTGTAAATATTCACTCAGATTCAGTTGTTTATAGAGAAATCATTTTTTTGTCAAAATGGATGTTTTTCTCTTTATGGTCTGGCATGGTTTTAATGAATTTTTTGTGCCCTTTACTCGGGCATGATATTTGTAGTAACGTATAGAGATTCATTTGAAGGAGAGCAAGGCCCTTGCACCTCCGATGGCGGGGCAACATAGAAATTATATTAGTTTCATGCGTTTCCAACTGAGTTTCATGATAGACTATTCTGACTTCTGAGCCTGTGATCATGCTCCTCAAGACAGAGAAAATGTTTCAAATTTTAAGCTCGTGTTTTTTGGCACGAGCCTGTCATCGATTTTCCGTCAAACAAAGGACAGTAAAATATCGTGGAAAAATTCAAACCCCTACAATATTCCAAACACCCAACCATTGATGTGGTGTGATGCATTGGATGAAGATTAGATGGTTTAAAGCTAGGTTTTTTATAAAATTATTTTTGGTCTGAAAATTTCCCATTATTTGGACACCCTTATGAAGACAGTAATACATGATTCTATAAATGAAACTTTTTATACAAATTTATAAATAAACCCAATCCTATACATGTATTTATAAAAAAACTCAAGCACTATTTTAACATAGAAACATCCAAAATCAATCCCAAAGTCAACTTTTTGGGTGTATTTATAAATAGGTTTTGAGTGTGTAATGATGGGTTTTGGATGTGTTCATATGTTTAAATAGTGCTTGGGTTTTTTTATAATTTCAATCCCCATTTTGGGTGTTTTAGTGAAACTCCCAACTTTTTAACCTGTCTTCGTTTACATAATTTACATTAGCAAATTTGATTACTTGAGATGAAAGATAAATCTTGCATTATATGTGAAGCCATCAACAAACAGAGCAAAAGATGTCATTCAATTCCAAGCAAAACCAAAGCAAACGGAGCAAAACTTGTATCAAGACAACAGATCTATCCAAATTCACGGTACTAAGGCTAACATATCTGCATTTTCAAATGCGAACCTCTCCTCTATGAAGTTATGACTAACAAATCCTCAGCTGCAATGGTATCGGCAACGAACAAGGAAAAAAATTCCTCGGTTTCTTAAACTATCGTTTATGGCAATTTGGAAACTTGGGTTCATCAATGTACCCTCGATTACTGTGTTTTCTTTTGTAAGGCTTGATGAAGAACATCAGAGACACCCAGCAGCTCCGATTGAACACCGCCACATGTGGCAGTAGCCAGGTCATAAGTTCGGGAAGTACAAACAGTCATGAGAGACAACCACATATGTGGAGGCAGCAGTACTTCATCCTTTGTTAGCATTTGGTATCTTGGAATGCCTAGCGCTCTCACAACCTGGGCAGTTATGCAAGCTTTCATGAATATAAATGTCACAATCAAGGCAGAAGTGCTGTTTGCATTTTGGACAAGCAACACGAAGGCTGGGTTTGTTTCCTGTGTCATAAACAGTGAAAAGGAAGTAAGCCAGGGAAGTGATGCCACCTGTTACATAGACAAAGACATTCCACATATGCAACCGGTAAAAAGCCGAAAACATAGGCAAGGTTTATACATGACATCAATGAAT